AATCTTATATGAGGAAGACTGGGTAAAGCACATAAAAATGGCACCCCTATAAATTAAAAACTGCATGTAAAACAGTGAGACCCCTGCAAAGGCATCACAAAGTGCAGTCAGTGTCAAATTTGCTGGATTGGGAGGCACTGTAGATCAAGGGCGAGACTCTGTGAGGAGGAGGAGGAGGGAGGCAGAACAAGGGACAAAACACAAAATGGCGGAGCGAGCATAAATCCCTGCTGAAAATTCCAGCTACAGAGATACACTGCAGGACAATGATCTGATGCACACATGCAATTCCAACTCTGAGGCCCAATCCCGAACCAGCACCTATCCTCTCGCCCTACCCACTCCCCCTGTTTGCGGCTTCACACAGACGGTTCGCCATATCAACCCTGAGAGCACTATAGGCAACTATAGCTGCCCAGTGATGTAAGATATCAAAATCAGATAATCTATCATGTGGCAACTTGTTTAAAAGAGCACCCAGGAAGCTCTTTTAAACTAGTTGCTACATGATAGGTTTTCATCAGCTCAGGATTATTACGTTTATTATTATGTTTCTTAGAAAATTTATTCAGCGTTTTAAGGGTTAAGTATAACTCAATGCCAATTAGCGTGAAGTGGAAGTGAGTTATAAAACCCTTTGCAGAGAGTCTACATTGATGCAAGCTTACGAACCACGTTACTTTCCAATGCAGCACTTACTGTGTCTGAGATGGACATTCCTACATATGTGGATTCTTTGCGGCTATTATAAAATCAATGATTGTTCCTTTTCACGATGTGCCAAGTCATTGCACATAGACCTACGCCTTCATCTTTGTCAATACTGGGTATTAAATTTTTTTTATATAAATATTTATTTAATTTCTCTGCAAAATTTTTTGGGTAAGCAGCATATCATGAAGTAACGGAACTGTCATATACAATGCAATGCATTTATCGGTAGGCATTGTGATGACTACCTCTGCTTCCCACTGTATAAGGGGCAAGGGCATCAACAGTTTATATACATATTGCACCATCCCCCTTGGTGAAGTTCCCTTAAACAGACAGTTCATGCCAAAAACCCTCCAGTGTAGCTGAGTGTGGGCCAAAAATTCCTCCACAGTGATGTAAGAGTCCCACTGCTAGTTATCACGAGTATTCGATTGCAGATGCATCAAGGGTAGGACAACCAGTAACTAGGTATATTAGGGTAATTATTTTTTCACACGGATGATAAAGTTTTTGAATGACTCTGCACTGTCAATAAATGTAATGATCATATGAAGGCTGCAATTTGTGTTTAGTCATGTTTTCTTTATTTTATATGTAAATTAGTTGGATGCTCTGAAACATTCAAATATGACAAATAAGCAGAAATAGGACACATTAAGAAGGGGGCATATACTTTTTTTCTGTTCCATAATTTCTTTAAATTGCAGCATCATGTGCTGCTTTTTGCCTACTTCACACTGCCACACAGGTTCTATTTAAGTAACATTCTGACAAGGCTGGCAGTAATCATGCCTGAGTGTTTCTAGTACTATTGAACACAATTATCAATTAATTTTTTTTTAAAAGTTTATTTAGTAAGTAAGGGGCAATTACTTTTTACATTGCTAGCTACTAAAGTAGTCATGTATATTTAGAGATTGTTGCTAGTAATGGGATATTTTGACATGGTGTCTCTCTGTTGGCAGAAAAGGCCAGTAGCTCTGTTTGCTGGCCAATCAGAGCAGAGCTCACTTCACAGAGGGGTCACCCAAACAGATTTGTTTCTTTTTTTTTTCAGAAAAGTTCATCAATCTCCCTAATTATTAAAACAGCATGATAAGCCCCCTTTAACACTGCCTGGCTGCACTTTCAAGGCAGACAAGTTAATGGTGGTCAACCCCAAACTTGCCAAACTTTAACTGAATAAGTTGATGCCTGGGCCTGTAAAGTAGCATAAATAAACCAAAAGTAAACATCTGCAACAACATAGGTTGGATTACTTTGGTCAAATGCTTCTTTCCTACAGAGTGCTTCTAAGCACTCTGAAGTATTCATGAGTCTATTTCATGTCTCATATTCAAAACTGCTGATCTTTTTCAGTGTGGTTGCTGCGCAGGCAAGAGCACGTCCGTCTTCTACCTCTTTGGTATTTAAGTCAGTTGAGGTTGTAAAATACTTTATGGGGGAAGATGGGAAAGGGGGAGGGGGAAGGTTGCACAGCATTAATAATGGAGGCAAAATTTATAGCTGTAGAACTGGCAGGGTGTCAGGCGCTGATGCTCGGGGATGTAATTTGACGGATTAGCTGTGACAACAGCTGTATAATTTGTGGGTGACATGAGTTGGCAGACAGGAAGTGAATGGATGAGGTTCACTATTGCTGCCATGGTGTGGGTATGTCACCTGGCTCTGCCTCAACTCCACTGATCTGTACAGTAAATGGTTCAATAGAAATTCAGCCATTAGGAAGGACTGAACTGTGGACACAGTCAGTCTCAAAGGCCAGGAATAAATAGGTGTTGAAAGCATGACTTGGTTTTGAATGCTAACACCTAATGACTTAGCCATAGAAGCATGCCCATATCATGGGCACAATATGGCGGTTTTTTGGGGTTTTGTTTCCATATCCATGTAGAACGCTTTTCTGTTGTTTCAATGTGTCATGCTGGGTCGGCACATGTATTCTGCATCATCCTGTGCCATGTTCCAATTGGTTGCTTTATCAACATTGGTCCCTGCAGAAGTCACACAGGTTGATTGTGGACCCAATAACATTGTCAGATGTTTGACTCAGCCTGACTCAATTGCATTGACTCAATGCAATCTTCTGTTGCCGTTGACCCAAATCGGTTGTTGCTAAGCTTGCCTCAGTGCATTCTAATGACGTGGTCACACATATAACTTAGTGGGTGAATCAAAAAAATTACGCTCCTTTCGTTGTAAAGAACAGGACAAAGAAATTGCTCCTGTCGGCAAAGAAATTGTTGAAAAGAATGGAACTTGATTTTTGTGATGCTCCCTCTTCAAACATATATGTGACTGCACCTTTAAACAACAGAACTAACAACCAAAGATTTTTTTTTCATGGTCTTTCAAGATTCAGCTGCAATTGCAATGACGTGGGGGAAAAAAAACCTAAGGTCTGTTGGATTCTTAAAAGGACAAAGTATAGTTTTTTAACTAATTTATTAGCTAAAATCAATGTCTTCATTCATTTATATGTCGTTATTGGTGTAATGTTACCTCTGCCAATAATCTGACTTATCCTCATAAGCGAAGCATCACATGCTGAATAAGGGTGTGTTGTTTCACCCTTAATAAAACATGACATTTGCTTAAGTATGATTCATTAAGACATTATGTCTCATTTATGAAGGCATTATACATGCTGTATAAAGCCTTTATGAGCAACACTTCATCTAAAGTGCGACCGTATATTGTGATACAGAGCTGAAAAAGTTGCATTTTCTTGTTGATATTTAAATCACTTGCCTGTTTACACAATCAGATATAAAAGTCTTTCCTTTCAAAACCCACATTTGCAGTCTTGCAGTGTTGAGATTATGTTCACATACCCTTGATTAAGTGTGGATGAATGTCCCATTCCTGAAATTGCATAAGCACAGGTTCGCTAAGTCTACACTTTATGAACCCTTATCTTGATACTGCTCTGGAACGCTATTAACGGTTAAGTACAAGCCAGAATGCATCAGGATTTTGTATGGCAAAAAGATGGAGTGGTAATTAAGATGACAGGCAAGGCATTATTTCTGTGTAAATAAGGTTATATGAGGTTTGATGCCTCTGTTATTGGGTGGTATACTCATAGTAAATAAAGAAATTGCCATCTCGTTGAATATTTATTCATTGATACCTTTTGTTATCTATTTTTTTTTTTTTTTTTTTGATTTTATTGTTGCATTGTTGCTGTGAGTGTGTGATTGCCCTTCTTCACATTTGTACTTTTACTGTGGTCAGCACCTCTCCAACTCTGGAGTGCATTCCTGCTCTCCTCTATCCTTGTTACTAATTAGGAAAAGCAGATAGGATCCTGTTTAGAGTTATCATGCTTTTTAAGCCAAGGATACGGAAGGGCTTTAATACCTCTGATGTGAATGAACCAAAAACCCTGGGTGGAAGAGGTTTAACTCATATAGTTTGGTTTAAGGCACTGAAAATCCAGAGTGGAAGTGGTTTGACAAGTATAGTTTGTTTGGATGCGTAGCTAAGCGCCCTGGCATTTAGAAACTTTTGCTAGTATAGCCAGAGCACTGTTTGAGACAAGGTTTATAACTGCTGCCTCACGTGGAAGCATTTTCCTTCTATGAAGTGCATGCCATGTGAGAGGACATTAACTCTTAACACCTGCATGCTTTCCAACTGCATATAAACTTTGGCCTAATACCAGCAGTACATCCCACAAGTGGCTTCTTGCTTACTAATAAATACCACCAGTGAAGGTGTCAGGACAAAGCCATCATTAAAACTGTGGTATATTTACTTGGACGACACAAGAAGAAGCCCATACAGATTAGTTCATACTGAAGCACAAGGTATGGATGGGGATCGAACCCATGATTTTTGGTTTACAACACCAATGCCTCACCACCCTGAAGCTTTTATATCTCTGAAGGCAAAGCAGTGAAAATCCCGGACGGAAGAGGTTAAAGTTGTATGGCTTGGTTGCCTGTGTAGCTTAGCATCACTCTCAAAATTGCTTATCATGAACGAACACATTACCTTTCCAAAAGCATTGTATTGTTGATTACAAAGTAATCACTAAACAGAATGCATTCTTAGCTATGGCATCAAGAAACTGTCGCTAGTTTAACCAGAGACAGTGCACAAGACATGTTGAGAGGAACATATAGATTTAAGGACCGTTCTTAATGGAGACTGGCAGTTATATCATTCTTTTTTCTTATTAGAGAACTGATCACAACACTTAGGATAAATCCATCATAACTACCACAAGGACTAGATATAAGGGTATCCTCTCACTGAGTAGGTCCCCTTCATTGAGGGAAAGGCATGGATGGGGATTGAACCTATGATCTTCAATTTACAAGACCATTGCCTTACCACTTGGCCACAATGCCAGGCTCATGCAGGACAAAAACCAGGTACAAGGCAGATGGCCCAATTTTAGCTCTAGGTAATGAACTTCTTTTCACAAGTTGCAGAGATGTTGGAGCCATAAGATGGCTACAGCTTCATTATCCAGACTAAATCCAACTTTAGACTGCGTTAGAAAGATCATTGCATGTACCACTGCATAAGACGAGTCATGCCACACAGTGCATTGTAAGAGCGCTGATTGGAGCTAAAAGTCATGTTTTTTCCAGTTCCACTTGCAATGGCAATATCATGAGAAAAAAAAAATATATACAACCTGTTGGAGCACAAGGGGTTGAAGCAACAAGCTCTGTGATTATTAGATGATTTATCGCTGTTTTTATTCATTATTTTTTTGTCACACTGTGCCTTCCCCTCCGCTTATTTCCATCATTGGTATAGCTGTGAGGTGTTTTACACCTACTAGTGTGTGACTGCCCTTCTTCATATTTGTATTTTCACTGTAGTCAGCACTCGTCAACTCTAGTGTGCATTCTTTCTCTCTCCTATGTTGGTTGCTAATTATAAAAAGCAAATGGGAACCACTTCAGTCTTAGTATGCATTTTAAACTGAGGATACGGAAGGTATTTTATGACGCTGAAGGCAAGACATTGAAAATCTTGAGTGGAAGAGAAGTTTGTCGTAGCTCATCCTTGGGCGCAGATGACACAAATGGGTTTTTGCTAAGAATGCCTCCTTTGTTCATTGTCAATTATGAAAAGAAAATGGGCAACAGTTTGGCATTATCATACATTTTAAGCTGAGGATACTGAAGGGCTTTTATACCTCTGAAGGCAAAGCACTGAAAATCCCGGGTGGAAGAGGTTAAACTTTCATGTCTTGTTTGTCTGTGTAGCTAAGCATCACTTTCAAAATTGCTTAGCATGGACACATTACCTTTCCATAATCACTGTATTGTTTATCACCATGTCATTACTAAACAGAGTGCATTTTTAGCTGTGGCATCTAGAAACTGTCGCTAGTTTAGTCCAATTCGGTTCGATTCCAGCATATGCTTGGAGCAGGGCCGGAGGCAGCTTGCTTTGACTGGGGGTGCAGTGAAAGTTTCTGGGGGGTGTAATGGTACACAGTGGTGGTCTAGTTTCTAGTTGTCGGTATACTGAGGCCTAACCCCCCCCATCCCTCCACACACTCAGACGCTCAAGCAAAAAAAAAAAAAAAAAAAAAAAAACATGCCATTTCTTATTCAAAATGTTTAGTATTAGTTCATACATTTACATTTCCATTTAGCAGAGGCTATTATCCAAAGCGACTTACAAAATGATGAAAGCATTGCAAGCTACAATGAAGAACCTTGAGTAAACAAAACATTAGGTACACACCACCAGAAGAGCAGAGTGTTAAGTGTAAGTGCTAGTGAAGTCAAAGTGGAAGGAGAGAATTACAGAAAAAAACTAATTATGGATAGATTTTCTATGTTGCACCTATCACTTCTAATGCAAAACCCTGTTGTGTCAGCACAATACATTCTCATCCTGGACTCGTCATAGACTGACGCTACGTGACCAAGCATCGATATACGAGGCAGAAGGAAGCTTTTGGTGTCATTATTTGAGGGTTAGGGTTAAGGGTTAGGGGGTAGGGTTCGTTTTACACTGGCGTCAATAAAGGACGCTAAAAGCGACCTTTTGCCTCGTATATCGACGCTTGGTCAGGTAGTGTCAATATATGACGTGTCGGGATGAGAATGGGCTCGTCAGCATGGTCACTCTTGTTTTTAATCTGAAGCAACACCAAATTTGCCAGGGTTTCAATAATCTTATTTTGCAAATTATGAGAAGCATACTTTGCATTTTGAGGTATGCTACTGGCGATCTCTCTACGCTTTGCATCCTTTGTGAGTGTGTACACAAACAGCTTCAGGAAAAGCCCAGTAGAGAAATCATCATTTACGGACAGAGGGCTCTCAGAGGTTCCACGGAGGGACAACTCATTAACAACAAGAAACCTTAGTCTCTCCTATGCCTTTAATGTATGACTCTACAATGACTAGCACCTGTTTCGTGTTTATAAAAAAAAAAAAAAAAAAAAAATCAGAACTTAAAGCTTGAGTGCAGCAACCTATGGGGGCTCAATAATTAACTTCTCTATGACTTGGATTAGTACATATATTGGACCTCGTGCAATTACTTTTATTGCAGCATTATAAACACAATATGGACATGGGGCTTTCATTGCCCATGGCAGGCATAGCATTTCCCTCCTAATGATAAGTTAGAGGGTAAAAAAAAAAAATCCAACTAATTAAAACAAATCAACAGCTTAATAGAATTCTAGGGTTGCGATGAAAACCAGCACACACAGTGACAGTGGTCCCCCAGGACTGAGTTTGAGAACCACTGGGCTAGAGGCATGTTCACTGAATCCCGCATCAGACTCTAATGCCGTTTTCCAATTAGTGAAACCTCATCTAGTGAATGTGATGTCTTTGTCATTTTTAGCCGCAAACTTTCAACTGGGGAAACAGAAATATGCATCTAGCTTTACTGAGTGCTCTAACCATGGTCGAGAGCAGTAGCAACTTGAGTTGAACGCCCGAGGATCTTGGCAAAAAATCCGCATGAGGCACATTTTTAACATTGGCTGCGTCAGAGCCCTGTCGTTTAGACCATGCTCGCTGACTGTATCACCCGCAGAAGCATTATTCTCCACACCATGGACCTAATTTATAAAAGTTTGCGTGGATTTCATTCCTAAGTAATACGTATGCACAAAAACATAAAAATCACATTTTGTGGAAAATAACCTAATTTATAAACCTATGGGTAAAATAAACTGCATGGAATTTTCATTTATTTAATCAGAATGGACTTGGAATTTATTGACATTGTGCATAATCTTAATAATTTCCCTTTTTTTAATGTCAAGTTTGTTTTTATAAATCAGAAATCTGCAAAGAAAGTGACGTCTGTATCTTTTTTATGCCTATGCACGGTTTATAATTGGGCAAAAAAAGCTAACACCAACGCACTCTGCCTGCTCTTGAGTAGGTCTTGTACTAGACGTGTCTGAGCTAGTAGATGCTTTGGTGATTATAAATTGATGCATCATTTTTTCTTTTTTCCTTTAAACAAACTTGTATGCAAATAAGAAAAAAGTGGTTGTGGATAACCAAGCTAACAGGACAAGCTTACCTATTTATGTTAACTGAAAGACTATGTCGACAACAAAATGTGAAGAGTACAAATAAAGGTATAAGCTTAATTTAAGGTATGGAATATTAGTGTTTAATAGTAGAAACTAATTGTACAATCAAAAGTCAATGAAATCGCTATCCAACATGCTTGACAATTACTTGAGGCGAGACGAGAGTGGTAAGAAATTTCTGGTTGATATCAGTTTTATCAGTGACTGTGGAGGTGGAGCTACAGACTTCATGGCCAATATTCAACCAGCCAATCAGAAACATAAAGAAAATCCATTTGAAAAATGCTATAAAATGATTGAACGATCTTTAGATTTTGGCTGAAGCATACAGTCAATGGGCTGAAGTATACGTCCGCAAGTCAGGAGGAGCAGGGGGGCGCGGCAAAAATCTGGGGGGGCGTGGCACAACACTGCCCCCCCTGGATACGTCGAGGACTTGGAGGAATAATGCGACTAATAACCGCATTATCTGGGTGTGTTAGTCCGACTATGAGAAATTCAATTTATATGATACCAGTCAGACTAATATGTTCACATGCATTTCAAAAACCTGGTTTCAGTTGGATTAACTCAATAATACAAATTTTTCTAATGTCATGTAAAGGCATACAATGACAACAACACAGGATGTACGACAAGTACTGAACGAATAAGGTCACGTCAGTCAAGATTCAGGCATGGAGGGAGATTGAACCCATGATCATTGGTTTACAAGACCAATGCCTAACCACTTGGCCACCATTCCCACATACATTGAAAAATATGACTGATCTTTTTTGACTGTTGTGAGCATGAATATTGAGGTATATTGTGATACAGAGCTGAGAAAGTTGCATTTTCTTGTTGATGTTTAAATCCCTTGCCTGTTTACACAATCAGATATAAAAGTGTGAATGCTCCAACTTGAAGTCACCTTCAAAAATGACTGCTATTTCTTCGGCTTCATCCTAAAACCCACATTTGCAGTCTTGCAGTGTTGAGTTTGCGTTCACATGTCATCAAGTAAGTGTGGAAGAATGTCCCATTCCTGAAATTGCATAAGCACAGATTCGCTAAGTCTACACTTTATGAACCTTTATCTTGATACTGCTCTGGAGCGCTATTAACGGTTAAGTACAAGCCAGAATGCATCAGGATTTATGGCAAAAGATGGAGTCAATCAATCAATCGATCAATCAATAACCTTTATTGCAGGGAAGTCCCACTGAGACAGAGGTCTCTTTTGCAGGGGAGCCCTGATTACAATAAAACAATTACAATGGAAGGTTAAAGACAAACAGCACACATAAAAATACACAAAAGTCACAAACAACTATTTCCGATTAAAGGAATAACAAGTCTTAAACTAGAATGAAACATAAGTGTGGTAATAAAGAGGACAGGCAAGGCATTATTTCTGTGTAAATAAGGTTATATGAGGTTTGATGCTGTTGTTATCGGGTGGTATGCTCAGAGTAAATAAAGAAATTGCTATCTCGTTGAATATTCATTCATTGATACCTTTGTTATCTATTTTTTTTTATTGTATTTATTTATGATTTTATTGTTGCATCGTTGCTGTGAGTGTGTGATTGCCCTTCTTCACATTTGTACTTGATCCTGTTTAGAGTTATCGTGCTTTTTAAGCCAAGGATGCAGAAGGGCTTTAATACCTCTGATGTGAATGAACAAAAATTCCCGGGTGGAAGAGGTTTAACTCGTATAGTTTGGTTTAAGGCACTGAAAATCCAGAGTGGAAGTGGTTTAACAAGTATAGTTTGTTTGGATTTGTAGCTAAGCGCCCTGGCATTTAGAAACTTTTGCCAGTATAGCCAG